CTAGATAGGGCGGATAGCCAATCACGTGAAATCTCCGAATATTACAATGCATTGTGGGTAGTGACGTCAACCAGTGATAAATCACAGGTGAAAGTAGCAGTGAATCCAATAGTGAACCCACGGAGTGCTCTGTCACTGCATGGTTGACCTAAAAAGGAGAATTTAACTTTAAAGAACATGGCATAATGATAAAAACTGAGAGCTATAAAAATATTCACCTAGATTATCACTACGAGAAGTTTTTTAAAGTTAAATTCTCTTTTTCATGTCAACCAGTGATAAATAACTCCGTGGCCTCACTGCTACTTTTACCTGTGATTCACAGATAGTTCCGGAAATTATGACTTGTGGATTGAACAGTGATAATAAAATATTACAGTATCAATTTTACCACTAAAAAGGGAATTGAGAAGAACGAGTGATTTAAAGAGTTTATGCTGTAGAAAATCAGTGGTACTTTTAATTTTGAAGATGTAGAAAGCATTTGGGAAGGATCGTTTGATAAGGTTAACCTGTGATAAATCACAGCATAACCGCCACCTGCTACTTTTCACATGTGATCCGACCAGAGTCAAGGAAGTGTCGGAGACGGCGGTATTTTTAGGTTATCCTGTGAAAAATCACTGCTACTTTTCACTGTGATTTTTGAGTAGCAGTAACAGTAATCACGTTCCCGAAAAGTAGCCGTTAAGCACAAGCCTAGCCCATTCTCAAATGCCTTTCTCCGTTCCTCCTCTCATTCCGTTTGTTCCTTGCCGAACCCGTAATTCCCTGGTCCATTTTAGATTATAATCTTTGCAATTGGTGAAAATGTAATCTTTATTCCCGTTTGTGACACTATTGTGGAGGCCTAAAATACGGGAACCAATCAGAAATGGATTCAAATTGTCTTGACTCTCAGTATAAAGGGACTCTAGTCCAGTTGGGGATTTCGGGGATTTCTATGAATCTATGGGTATGGGTCCTCTAGTCCTATGACTCCCATGGTTATGGTATGGTTCCAGTGAAGTGAAGCTCTAAGGACGTGATCTACGTGAAAAATACTTAGCGTTGAGTAGCGTTGAGCAAAAATTTGTGTTTTTAAGTACATCGTTTTCGCTTAGCAAGATTATGTAATTGCGTTACTCGACAAATTGTCGGAACCGTCTTCATGCCCTTCCAATCTCGCATTATTATTATTTCTTATTTAAATGGTAGTGTCGTTTAATTCTCATCTCGGACGTTGACTTTTTGGGCCCGAAGATACTTATTCCAATTATGGCCCCTAACATAAGTAAATTTGTGACGAAGAAAACTGTGGCTGGTGCTGCATCTTTCTCGCTTTTACTTTGGATTTTAAAGTCGAACCGGAAATTAAGGCAAACAAGAATCAAGTGAGTCATTTAAGTAATTTTTCCTCCTAGGTGCCGATCTCTTTCCTTTTGCAGCAGCTGAAACAAAATTACCATCTCTTAGAAGTGGTAATTTATTATTTCATTTTTGAATTATGAACCATTTTTAACTTGAAAATTTGATCTAGCTGCATTAGGAACCAAATCCTCTGTTCCTTCCTGTGATCCTCCGTTCCTTCTTGTGATCTTCTGAATGAGATTATACCAATTTTCTGAGACTTTGAGACACACGAGTGCAGTTTGAGTGAATTAATTCTGAAAACTCTGGTTTCTTGGAATCAGTTAAGTATTGCTGAATTATGATAAGTTCCTGAAACAAGTTAGCCCCAAGTTTCACAAAACGCGCTCGCGTGGACAAGACCTAAGATTATTTTTGGTCACCATGCAGGGACAGGTTTAAATTCAGGTGAACTGGAACGGAGTACCCAATAATACCAAGTCTAAAGCTAATAGTTTTACGGCCTTCCCAGCACCTCCTTCCAGCCAGTTGTGAAATTTTGACTCACTTATAAGTAAATGGCAAATTTTGGTTCAAAACACAGGACCAGATCGCTAGCATTGCATAAAGATTTAAGTAGTTTTGTGAGCGCCATCAGCAGGAAAATCCATGGGCGTTTAAAACGGGAACCACTGCTGTTAAAACTGTATGCTGCTACATGGAATGGTGGGAACTACCTACTAAAGGAGTATAGAAATTTTATAAAAAACTCTAATAGTACTGTAATTGCTGTCTATTTCATTCTTACTTGAGTTTTTAGAATGCGTCATTCGTTAATATTTTGCCCGAGAGACTAAGAATGATCATGCGCAGAAAAAACCAACTGTTAAGAACTAAAACTAAACTAACCTATACTCTAACCTAACCTTACGACATGACATTTAAGTTACCAGTCTGTAGATTGTTATTATTTCACCCAATAAAAAAAAAAAAAATAATAAAATAAAAATGTAATCATTAAGTTGCTAACGTCATCATACAGTCGCTAACAACATCATAAAATCACAAACGTCATCATAAAGTCGCTAACGGAATCATGAAGATGCGAATATCATTGTTAAGTTGCCAACGTCATCCTAAAGTCACTATTGTAATTTAAAAGGCGCCAATGTAAGCTCATAAGTCACCAAAAGTAAAACATATCAATGTATGAGAGGATTTGGAAACTTACCAAAATATAATAATAATCATTTTAAAAATAAAAATAAAGTTGATTACTCGCAGCTGGAACGCATGACTTCATGCCTCGCGCTCATAGAGAAAATACAGACGGTGGTGGCAAGGCAACCATCCTGAAGATTGGCTGTGCAAAAGTACACGGATTGGTGCGCTATTGAAAAAAAGTACATTTCATGATGGTACCTCAACACAGACCTACATCACCACTGAATCTAACATTAAGTCATATAACTGAACATTAGTTACCATGACTCTCCAATTTTTGCTTTTTTGACGTACAGAACGTAATGGACCACTAGACAAGGTACGAATTTCAGCATTCTGATACATGTTTCGTAACTAAAATTTCATGAGTGGCGGTAGCCACAACCGGGCAAGTAACCTATCCTCCAACAATTGGCAACACAGCACAGCCCGGTCGAGGCAACGACACCATAGTTACACGTACTTGGCTTATTTGGGTTTTTAGTTGCGGTTTCAAAAGCTTTTCAAAGCAACGGAGCAACGGATTTCAGAAATTTTGGTGTCTAAAGATGCGTCTCGGTCCCGTCTAACGAACTGTTGAGTTTCAAGGAGGTTGATGATTTATTAAACGAGATAATTACGCATATGTGCCTAAAATAGCGAAAAGTATCCACTTTGACCATTTTCACGTTCTATACAAGCTATGGAGAATAAGAGACATCAGAGCCCTATATAATGTTATATCAAAAGAATTGTCATGTTCCCGTGTAGTGTGCATTTAAGTTTCATTAAGATCCAAGGCATCCTAAGAGAAAAAACCGGCGCTCCGCTTCGCTCCGCGCCGGTTTTTGGGGGGGCTTTGCCCCCCCAAGCCCCCCCAGGGCGCGCGCTTCGCGCGCGTCTTTTCAGGGTCGTCTGCACATCTAGTTTTTCCTCTATTTAAGTGTCCCGCGCATCCACCGCGAGAAGGAAGTGTATTTCCCGAAGTGGGATTTTTGTAGTCATAAAATCGTACGTCAGGAAGTCATTGTGTAATCGATAGTTTTCTTCCAAAAACTTTCTTCACCTGACCCACTGTGCGACGCGCAGTTTGTCCAAAATCTTCCTTCCCTGAACCACTGAGCGACGGAAAGCTTCTTCAAAAACTTCTTCCCCCTGACCCACTGTGCGACGAAAATTTTGTCCAAAAACTTCCTCCCCCTGACCCACTGTGCGACGAAAATTTTGTCCAAAAACTTCTTCCCCTGACCCACTGTGCGACGATCAGCTTGTCCAACAACTTTCTCCCCCAACCCACTGTGCGGCCCTGCTCCGGCCGGCTCCCCTCATGCCGCGCACCCCCCGCCTAAAACTTTCAAAGCTCGCCATTTTTAAACGGCTCAGCCGATTTAGCTCAAATTCAATACCAAACCAGTCCTAGAGGAGAACTACCAACCATAAAAAGTTCAGCTCAAAATATTCATTTTCGCTCGAGTTATCGAGTGGACAAGATTTAACCTTCCCCCACTTTCGAGCCCCACCCCTCAAAATCTATTGCCTCAAATTTCAATTTTTTTTCGCGGAATAGTAGTTCTAATGAGTCTCTACTAAATGCAAAAAAATTGGTCAAAATATCTTTCAACGTAAGAAAGATATAACTACTCAAAAATCGAAAAATCTTTAAAAGGCGGAAATACATACATACATATATACATACATACATATATACATACATACATATATATACACATGAATTTGAATGGCATATATTTTCGTGATCTACGACCCGTGATCGGTGCTCTTCACAAGGTCTCGGGTCTGGGTCCGACATCATGGGAGAATGCAATAGTGTATTTTCTTCGGAAAATACACTAAAAATTGCGTCTAAACTGCTTTTCGGGTGCAATGGGCGACCCGACCTGCCGATGTTTATCATTGAATTTCTCGCTTACACTATTCTGGAATGAAGTTATGGTTATTTCCAGGAATCATCTTGAAGATATGAGGATTCCTAAAACTATACATAAGTTGGGGTTTACTTTTAGTGTATTTTCCGAAGGAAATACACTATTGCATTCTCCCATGATGTCGGACCCAGACCTGAGACATTGTGAAGAGCACCGATCACGGGTCGTAGATCACGAAAATATATGCTATTCAAATTCATGTGTATATATATATGTATGTATATATGTATGTATATATGTATGTATGTATGTATGTATGTATGTATGTATTTCCGCCTTTTGAAGATTTTTCGATTTTTGAGTGGTTATATCTTTCTTACGTTGAAAGATATTTTGACCAATTTTTTTGCATTTTGTAGAGACTCATTAGGACTACTATTCTGCGAAAAAAAATTGAAATTTGAGGCAATAGATTTTGAGGGGTGGGGCTCGAAAATGGGGGGAGGTCAAATCTTGTCCACTCGATAACTCGAGCGAAAATGAATATTTTGAGCTGAAATTTTTACGGGTGGTAGTTCTCCCCTAGGACTGGTTTGGTATTGAATTTGAGCTAAATCGGCCGAGCCGTTTAAAAATGGCGAGCTTTGAAAGTTTTAGGCGAGGGGTGCGCGGCATGAGGGGAGCCGGCCGGAGCAGGGCCGCACAGTGGGTCGGGGGAGAAAGTTTTTGGACAAGCTGATCGTCGCACAGTGGGTCAGGGGAGAGAAGTTTTTGGACAAACTTTTCGTCGCACAGTGGGTCAGGGGAAGGAAGATTCTGGACAAATTGTTCGTCGCACAGTGGGTCAGGTTAAATGATCTGTTCTTGAACAAAATCTCACCATTTAACCGTCACAACCTTTCGCAGCGCGTTCGCTGGCAACGTACGCAACTACTATCTTGTGCTCAAGAAATTAATTCATTCCCTTACAGATTGATCCCCCCCCCCCTTCGGAAAATACACTCTTCCCGCGGTGGACGCGCGGGTCGCTTAAGAAGACAGAACAACTGGAATGGACACTCAAACTAAAAAGCGCGCGCGAAGCGCGCGTCCTGGGGGGGCTTGGGGGGGGCGAAGCCCCCCCAAAAAACCGGCGCGGAGCGAAGCGGAGCGCCGGTTTTTTTACTGTTTAGGCTGTATCTTGGACAGCATCCCGAAAATCATGAAACCCGATTTCACTAAAACATAGACACGGTAGAATAACAGTGTTAGTGCTCTCTGCAGTCATCAACCAATTCAACTCACGAGCGGAACAACAAAACAAATCACGAATGTTAGGTTAGTTCCTATTTCATGGACATCAAGAACGATCGAGACAATATGAAATCATTTGGTTTCAATGAATTCAATCTATTTACGACTTCAACGATGTTTGTGACAATCATTATCATCGTGTTTTACAACCTGGAGCAGAAGTCTATCGCCTCATTGTGAAGTGAATTCTGAATATCCAATCTTAGAACTCGAAACCTCACCATTCTATTCTCTCATTGTTCTCTCTTCATTTTTGGTTCAAATCAAGTGATTCAAAGTCGCTTCACTAAAATTATGTAATCCTGAATCCATTCAAGAGTGCGTGAAGCTCACATTTTTCTGGCATTACAGCCTTTTTACTCCTCAAATTCTACGGATATGAGTCCATTTCGCTCAAGGTTTCTCTGAGCAATACCAAGTGTTTATACATTTAAGATAAGTGAGATTTGTCTTTTGGTTCTTCTCTTAGCAGTTTTAAAGTAAATTAGGTATTACAGTACCTTCATCCAGTTTTGTTTCCTTATTTAATGTTTGTTAAGAGTCTTTCTACGTGAACACTCAAGGACATACATACTTATGCTCAGGTACCAATACCATTGTTTTTCTCTCACGTCAGGATGTATCTTTAAGCATGCTAATTTACCAAAGAAACTCCTCTAGTG